CTGTTATCATATATAGGCCCAGCATCTCTAAAATGAAAGCGGAGGAAGAAAAACGACGTGCCCGAAAAATTTATGTGAGAAAAGAACCCGATCGAGTGAAACTATTTTTGCAGGTAAAGTATATGGATTGACATTCTTGATCTTATCTCAGAATGAATTACTCTTGCTTCTTAAATTCTAATACTTATATTCATGCAGAATAAAGTACAAACACCGAGAAGCTCGAACCGAGGTCGTCGTGGAAGCAGCAGGTTTTGATCTGAAGTAGAATTCACATCTAACAGGTTTGTTTTGCAATTTTATCCATGTAAGTTTTTTGTTACACCGTTATAAATCTTGCAGTTCCACTAGTTTTTAATTAGTTCATGAATATAGAGGCCTTTATTCTGCTTTCGTTTCACAGGTGTAGAGTTTAAACAAGATTATAGTGTCTGTGTGAATTAGTAGGAAGAGCTTAAAATTGGCATAACCAAATATAAATCAAATACGAGTTATATAATTATCTCTTGGATATGTAAGCACATGTATGTAAACCGAGCTAGGATTGGTTGGTACCTATTTATTAAACTGGGTGTACATGGTTCGGTTCGGTTGGGTTGGATTGAAAGAATTTTTTGGACCAATCCAAAAGTTTGCGTTGGTTGAATTGATAACCTAACCTAACTCGAAAATGTTCACAACCCAACCCGATTTTCGAGTTGGGTTGTGAGTTATATATATTTTTTAATTTTTTTAATTTTTTTTTATTTATCTACAACTCATAATTATCGATACAATTTTAGATAAAATATATTAAAATTTTACAAATAAACCCAAATCAATCTATAATCATTAAAAAAAAATATATCAACAACAATATAAAATTATAACATTTTTAACTAGTGCAATAAAATTAAAAACAATTAAATAGTAATATAGCAATAAAACTAAAAACAATTAATACACTTTGAGAATTAGTTATTAAAAAAAAATACTATGAAAATATTTTACTTATATTGGAATAGGCCTACTTATACCGGAGGGTTCTAAATTATAAAAATGAATATAAATTGTGATATAATAACGGTACAACAAAAAGATAATAAATACAAATTTATCGAAACTAATTTTCTATTAATCTAATTTTGTGTCTATTATTTTAGGTGTTAAAGAGTTCATCAAATAATCTGAATATTCTCACCCATATTAAATGTTGATTTAAAAACTCTAGAACGATTAAAAAGTTTTAAACAATTTTTTTATAAAACTTAGTATTTAAAATTATTTATTTTCTACAAAACTGGAAAGTGTAACTTAGATTTTTACTAATCTAAAATCATAATATCTGACTTAACTGTGATTACAAAAAGAATTAACGGTGATTACAAAAAGAATTGTAAAAAAAAACTTTCACAAAATTCATTTAAAAATTCAGAAAATGAAAATAATATACTTTAAAAAATACAATAATTATTTTATTATACCTAATATTTTTAATACATTAATTTTAAATTAAATATATTTTTCTATTTTTTAATATTAATTTAAACTCTTGAATATTTAATATTTTATGAACCTATTATAAAATTAATTAGTTAAACTATTAAATTAATCCATTTATAGAATTCTAAACATTATTTTTATTTCTAAATTTCATATAAGGCATACTAGTTGTGCTCTGCTCAACAATATTTATAAGGTAAATAAATAAAAATATTATATCAAATTTCTATTAAAATAATTATGCTTAAGAAAGTCAATTATATAATAAAACATTAATTTTTTTCTTAAAAAAAAACTGCCATATTTGATTTTTTCTTCTAAAATATTAAAATTGAAATCAGGAAGAATATTTATAAATCCAAATTAAGTTAAAATTTTATTTTATTTCAAATTCCATTAGAAGATTATTTGTAAAATAGTTAATTGAGTCATAGCTTACCGAACAAATTCCTATAACTATGGAACGGATTGAGGAATAAACTATTCTTTTTTTTTAAATTGCGTGACTCGAAGATGTTGAAATTACATAAATTATTTGAGTTATGCCTACTAAGATCAACCCGAGTGAAAAGACAAAGTGGATATGCGATAATAATTCCATATTGATCCGAACCAAGCATGTGCCCCCACTTTTAATAAGATTCCAGCTAGAAGCATATAAGAACGGTAATGTAAATGGTGACCATGTATGTCAGGGTTAATTGGTGATTTGACAGCAAAAGCAATAAGAAAGGCAATATAGAATATTATTTCTCGTGCTATAGAATACGATTGATTGGTGTTTCAAAATTTAAAGTTAGTTCATTAGAACCATATAAACAATACCCATAACTCCCGAGGAATAAGTAATCACTATAACTCTAGATTATCATCCACCCAAAATTTGTAACCATTCAAGAATAAATGAAGCTTGATTCTTCTTTAATGTGACATGCATTTTCTTCACACATTCTTTGAAGTTTATCTTGCATGATTGATGTCTTGGTTCATATCAAAGTATCTCAATTTAGTGAAGTAGGACTCCCAAAACTCTTTCATAGAATTTAGCGAAAGCACAACTGCATCTCCTCCATGTTACACAACTGGAACACAGACCCATCTACGATTTTACACAAAGTGGTGATGAAATGGACCGTCCACTTCTTAAACGCAACACTCTTTTATACCGTCAGCCCCTTGTATTTTCTCGTTATTGGCCTCTATTCACACTAACACATCATATGTTTGTGTGAATAGTTGCTGAGAGAGGTTACGCTCAAAACAACAAGTGAAACACTTTTGTTACATACACACCACCGAAATCCCAAGCACAATAGAGACTGCACAAGGAAATCAAGGAAATCAGACATTCACTGCACAAGTAAAACAAGATACTTAAATCAAAGGGCAGAAAGGTTATACAGACTCGTGAAGATACGATTCAAAGATTTAGATAAGAGATCTACTTGGAACTTTGAGCCACCCTAAATACTTAGGTAAAAGTAGAGATTAAGCTTGAACTTCCAAGAACCAAGAATAAGGCCTAAGGATAAAGATGTGATAAGAGCCTACAAGTAAGTTGTTGAGTATTTTTATACCCACCCATTCCCTCCTTTTTTTTCGTCAAGTATTTGTAGGCTGTCGGTCGAGGTGGGGTAGCGTTCAAAAACTGTTCATTCACAAAGGGGGTCGTTCCGGGGTGTTAGTCCATTTTTGTATTGAATATTTTGTATTTCATTTTGTAATTGCATCCCAAACCCTTTTTCCCGTTTGTTATAAAGTTGAACACACCACCTTTATTAGTGGTGGTGTTTTCTATTTTCGTTTGATTTAAATTTTACCGTACTTTTATATACATACATATACATATACATATATACATATACATGTATATGTGTATATATATATATAAACCCTATAAAATAATATAAATGAAAAAATGTGAGTAAGAAGGGAGAAAAATATATTTAAAATAAAATATAACTTAGATTTTTTTTTTTTTTTTTTTTAAATATTCTAATTACTCATTGTCAAAAAAAATTCCTAATATATTTATTAATTTTTAAAATGTTAAATACTAAAATATATATTTTAAAAAAAATTAATAAGCAATTATATATAGAAATTATTTTTCATAAATTTCTAATTATGGAATCCATAGTAATTTATTTTCTAAAAATGATGTTATTATATATGGAAACTCATGCATTTTTTATAAATAAAATAAAATAAAAAATAAGAATTAAAATTTATAGAATTCTAAACATCATTTTTATTTATAAAATTGATATAAGGTAAAATATTTTTGCTGTTCTCAACGATTTTTTGTTTTGTTAATTATTAATTACATTTATTTGTAAGGTAAATAAATAAAAGCCATACTATCTCGATTTTCTATTAAATGAATTATGCTTAAGAAGGTTAATTATATAATAAAACATTATATTAAGAAAAACTTCCATATTTGATTTCTTCTTTTTAAAATATTAATATTCAAACCAATATTGATAAATCCAAATTAAATTATAATATATTTTTCTAAAATTTAAAAGTAAAAGACTAATGAGAACGTTTAAGTTATTTAATAAGTCGCTTTGCAGTAAGTTATTTAATATCAATATTCATTAAGAACGTTTTTACTTATAATTATTTAGAATTAATTCGTATTATTTTAAATGTTATAATTATTTGTTACGGTTTTATCTTATAATTATGAAGACTTTACATACTATAAAATTAATCAATTTTTATTAATTAATTATACGTCGGTTTATAATCAGTTAGGTTAAAAGCTTGATGGAGACTAAGTTTTCAATGAGAGAGTGAAACCCAATTATTTATAAAAGCTATGTATTTGGTAAGCACATTGAATTGCTACAAATGTCTCACCGAAATGAAAAGGCTATCCTCAATTATATATAATCTTGGATTTATCATAATAATGTATAATATTTTCTAATTAAATATTTTAACTAAAGAAATTCTAAAAATTTAATGAGAATTTACTACCATAAATAGATTAATTAAAATATTAATTATTTTATGATATCTTGATTGATCCTGCTGGTATATATATTATAGATATATATTTCATAAACTTATAATTTTGAAATTCATCACAATTTTTTTATAAATAAAATAAAATAAAAAATAAGAATTTTAATTTATAGAATTTTCAACATTTTTTTTGTTTTTTTAATTATTAATCACATATATTTATAAGGTAAATACTTAAAAGACACTATATCAAATTTTTATTAAAAGAATTATGCTTAAAGAAAATCAATTATATAATAAAACATTATATTAAAAAAAAAACAGCCATAATTGATTTTTTTAATATTAAAATTCAAACAAAGGTGGAATATTTATTAGTTCAAACAAAAGTCTATATTTTTCTAAATTTATATTTTAACTTTTATTTTACGTAATTTCTTTTTTTATTATTATTTCATAAATATATTATTTAATATCCCAAAAAGAGATAAACTCAACAATAATAAATACATTATTCCGATCATAAATTTTTTTATAAATAAAAGCAAATTTAAAATATACGAAAATAAATAACGAAGATGATTTTTTAAGAAAAATCTTCTTTGGATGTTTTAATTGAACCCGGCCGAGTTAAGTCGGTAACTCGGCACAGCAACGAGTCGAACCGCTCTGGGAGCGGTTAGACCGAACGAGTCGTTCATGTCCAGCTCCTCCGCCTTCATTCCGTCCGGCAACTCCCACGAGAAGGAATGAAGAAGATTAGCCACCGCCATCTCACAAGCATAAAGTCCGAGTTGCATTCCGGGGCAAGACCGCCGACCCGACCCGAACGGAAGGAACTCAAAATCACTCCCTTTGAAATCCGGAGCGGCGTCGTTTTCAAATCTCCCTGGTCGAAACCGGTCCGGATCTTCCCAAGCGGTTCCATCCCGGCCAATAGCCCAGCAGTTGATCCACACTCTTGAACCAGTCGGAATTAAGTAGCCTGCAACGGCGGTGTCCACGGCGGTCTCGTGGAGGAGCAACGGAATCGGCGGATGAAGGCGTAGCGTCTCCTTCACGACGGCTTTCAGGTAGGGCAGATTTTGAAGGTCCGATTCATGGAGTTTTCGATCTAATCCAACAGTCCGTGTGAGTTCTTCTTGAAGCTTTTGTAACTCTTCCGGATTTCTCATTAATTCCGCAATGGACCATTCAATCACAGAAGCAACCGTCTCTGTTCCGCCAAACATCACATCCTGCAAAAATCTCATGAACATTATGAATCAAATCAGTTTTGCAAATCAATAGAAAAATCGATGAACTCACCATGATTATCGCTTTGATATTATCTCTAGTAAGTTGAAAATCATTGCTACTCGATTCATCGACGAGGAATGCCATTAATTCATCCACCATATCGGAATCAACGTCCTGTTCATCATTATCATCGTTTTTCCCCAATTTTTTTGCTATATGTTCATCGATTATGCTATCAATAAACACATCAAGAGCTTTTCTAGCTTTTTCCATTCTTCGATTGAATTCTCCAGCATGAATCCAGCCTAACCATGGCAAAAAATCTGCAATGTTAAAAGCGCCAAACAGTTTAGAAAATTCTTGCAGGATTTCCACGAATTCGTCTTGTCCTTCGTGCGAGCACGATCCGAACGCGGCCTTGTAGGTTATGTTTCGTGTCAGACCGAAAACGAGTTCGCCTATATTCACAGGCTCGCCGATTTTATTCGATACGATTTGAAGTACAGAATCGACTTCATCACGCACTGACGCCCATGATTCAGCCCGCCGTCGACTGAAAAGCTTCATGACACAGATCTTGCGCATTTGGCGCCAGAATGGGCCATAATTTGCGAAGGCCATATCGGCGCGGTCGTACGTGAGGTACGATATCGCGACGTTCGCAGGTCTATTTGCGAATGCGATATCCTGAACTTGGAGGAACTCGCGTGCCATTTCTGGCGTGGAAACGACAACCATATGGAGAACGCCGAGACGGAGGTGGAAAAGACCGCCGTAGATGGCGGCGAGACGAGTGAGGCCACGGTGAGTGAGTTGGTTCATCATGAGCATGTTGCCGATGATAGGGAGGCCGGTAGGGCCGGGGGGATAAGGGAGTTTACGGCGTAATCTCCATAGGAAAGCAAGGAAGAACAGCAGAGAAACGAGGAAGAAGAAGAAGAAAGAGGAAGAATTCAAAGACTCCATTGAATTGAGATGAGAATTTGAAAGGATTGGAGATGAACTTATAGAGAACGAAAGAGATTTTGATTTTGATTTTAGAGAGAAAAAAATTGGGAACGTTACAACCTTACGTAATTATGTTCTTTTTTTAATTTTTGCAATAAATTTTAAAGATAATCATAGAAAGTTGTGTTTAATATTTATAATTTTTACAAGAATGTTTCGTTTTCTCGATAACCTACCTTTGATATGTTTTCTCCCTTGAAGCGTACTCGCACGTGGCGCTTCGTTTCGTTCTCCCTCTTAGCGTCCTCGTATGTGGAGGACGCTCACTGGCATGCTGCCTAGTAACCTACCTCTAATACCATTTGTAATGACACAATTCTACGGCTAGTCGATATTGTTTGATTTGACTTGTTATGTTTAGTTATCAATCTCACGATTTTAAAACTCGTTTAATACAAAGAGATTTCTACTTCTTATGAACGTTTTATTATTATTATTTTATAGTTCAACAAATTAGGTAATGGAAAATTGACTTTGGTGGGTCTTTAATAGGCCATTTATTATCTATTTTAATTATTTATCCCTAATTAATATTATATATATAGAATTTTGTAAAATTTTGGTATCACTAAATTATATTTAGGCTGTCATTTTGATCTTGGAATGAGAAATAATATACTTTTTAAATTAATTATACGAGAAAATAATAATAATAATAATGGTGAATATTTAATTAATTTATTTATTTTTAAATATACAATTAATTAATTAATTAATTAATTAATTATATATATATATATATATATATATATATATATATATAAAAGTAAAAATATATTTTTTAAATTAATAATAAATTTGGGTTGGTCCAATTTAACGGGTTTTGAAGAACTCATGAACTAATCAAACTCATAAAATTTTTTATTTATATGAATTCAACTCAATCCAAATAAGTTCATGTTCCGACCCAAATTTTAGGAGTTGAGTTAAGTTGATAGCGGTTTTCGAGTCAACGTTTTTTTGGACAACTCGAGGGTATCTCTAGTCCCCCACTTATAAGTTTGACCCAGAAAACGTAATTAAATTGAATTATTCAGTTAAAAAAATTAATAATTGAATTTCCTTAAAAAGAAAAAAAAATATAACAAATTACCTTATAAATTGACAAACCTGTTCGTTAGGTATATTAATTAATCTGATGGGTAAATAAAAGTTATGACATAGGTCGGTGACTGCTGAGCTCAGCATCAATTAAATCACAAAATAATAATAATAATAATAATAAATAAATAAATAAACTTTTTTTTTTTTTTTTAATGTTTCAACCTTGTTAAAATTAAAAATCTTTAGAATTAGACAAAAAAAAAAAAAAAAAAAT